ATCTGCTTTCCGGAGGGACCCCTCTCTCCGGGACTCCCTTGTCCGCTGCACACTCCCCTCCAGGCCCACCACACCCGGCACTTTTCCCTGCAACCGCAGGAAGTACTACACCTGCCCCTACACCTCCCCCCTCACCCCCATTCCAGGCCCCAAGAAGACCTTCCACATCAAGCAGATGTTCACCTGCACATCTGCTAATGTGGTATACTGCATCTGCTGTTCCCTTTGTGGCCTCCTCTACATCGGGAAAACCAAGCGGAGGCTTGGGGACTGCTTTGTGGAACACCTATGCTCGGTTTGCACTAAACAACTGCACCTCCCAGTCACGAACCATTTCAACTCCCCCTCCCATTCCTCAGATGACATGTCCATCCTGGGCCTCCTGCAGTGCCACAACGATGCTACCCGAAGATTGCAGGAACAGCAACGCATATTCCGCTTGGGAACCCTGCAGCCCAATGGTATCAATGTGGACTTCACAAGCTTCAAAATCTCCCCTCCCCATACCACATCCCAAAACCAGCCCAGCCTTGTTCACGCCTCCCTAACCTGTCCTTCCTCCGACCTTTCCCCTCCTCCCACCTCAAGCCCCACACCCATCTCCTACCTACTAACCTCATCCCGCCCCCTTGACTTGTCTGTCCTCCCTGGACTGACCTATCCCCTCCCTAACTCCCCACTTGCATTTCTGAAGAAGGGTCTAGACCCGAAACATCAGCCTTCCTGCTCCTCTGATGCTGCTTGGCCTGCTGTGTTCATCCAGCTCTTCACCTTGTTATCTCTTACACTCACCTTTACTAGCTCCATCCCCACCTCTTTGACCTGTCTGTTTCCTCTCCACCTATCTTCTCTATCCATCCTTTATCCTCCCCCTCTCTCCCTATTTATTTCAGAACTCCCTTCCTCTCCCACATTTCTGAAGAAGGGTCTAGGCCCGAAACGTCAGTGTTCCTGCTGCTCTGATGCTGCTTGGCCTGCTGTGTTCATTCAGCTTCAAAACTTGTTATCACAGAAGCTGCCTCTACTCCTTATAAGGCTGCAGATGGACTCTTGCTTTGTCTCTGCTGCATGACTGACCACTCTTGAGCAAGTGGCTTGTTGGCTCTGAAGGTCTCTGGGATGAAATGCTCTAACGCAATAGTTTATATATAAACCAAGTGCTGTGCGTTGAAGACTCGAACCCTGCAGGGCTAGGAAAAGCGTCATGCAGTGTGGTGAGGAAATTCCTGGGCAAGCAGAGAGCTGGGGGGCGGGGGAGGGAAATGTGGAGGAGGGGAGAAATCAGTTGATTGCGGCTGAATGCGCGCAGACAGGGTCACCCTGTGTTGGTGTGTATTTGTCTCAGGCTGTTCCAGTCTCGATGGCAACGGAGAGGAGAAGGCACAATTAGACCATCACACAAGCGATTCTTCACAAACCCAGGGCCCCATGCACTAACCATTTCACTGCTGGTTTCGAGCTAGGAACTTTAAGCAGGCAACTCGCTGGCCCTTGCCAAGTGACTGTAGCCCCCTGGTAACCCCATTCCTAATCTCCTACCCCACCCCGGCTCCTACCTGCGATATCCCAGAGCTGGAGCCGGATTAAAGTGCTGGCATCCCAGGTCAGGACCTTCAGAGCGAAGTCCACTCCGATGGTGGCGCGATAATTGTGGGAGAAGAGTCGGTGAACGTAGCGCTTGATAATGCTGGTCTTTCCCACGCCGAGCTCCCCGATCACCAGCACCTTAAACAGATACTCGGTGCCCCCAGGACCGCTCTCCGCACCGTCCGCCATCCAGCCGCCTCTGGGTAGCCTCAGCGCTTCCGCATTCCCATACAGGGAGATCGCCTGCTGCTCCAGCCCGCCCCCGGCTTCACCCAGAGCCCGGCCCAGCCGAGAGCCCAGCACCCACTCCCCGCCCAGAGCCCAGCACCCACCCCCAGCCCTGCGCCCACCCCCAGCCCAGAGCCAGCTCCCAACTGCCCAGAGGCAGCAAGAATCAGAAGGGCGCGAACGGGTGAGGTAACGGAAGGGGGAAGAGAGATGGGGAGGGAAAGTGGTGGTGGTTGGGGACAGGGGGCAGAGTTATGGTAGGGTGGGTGGAAGGAAGTAATGTGTTGAGGATGGGGAGGTTGTTGGGGCTTGAGGAAGGCTGTGGAAGTGGAAGAGAGGGTGGGTGAGGGGGATAAACAAGGTGAAGAGGCTGGGTAGAGGGGTGATGTGTGACAGTAGGGGAGAGGATATGAGATGGGGAGAGGCTGAGGGAGTAGGAGAGATTTTGTGACAGTGAAGGGATGGAGAGTTTTTAGAGGGGTAGAAACAGGATGAGTGAGGGTGGATGATGTTGGTCTTTATGGGGGAGAGGTAGGAGGGAGGCAGGGGTATTTGGGGAGGGTTGGTATGTATGTGAGAGGGGTGGTGGAAGGAAACGGGTGGGGAAGAGGGATGGGAAGCAGAGAGGGGAGAGTGATGGCGTAAGAAGTGGAGATGTGAGGGGGAGAGGTTGGGAGCAGGACTGGGTGGGGCAGAGGTATGGGATGGGGTTGTTTCTTTATCTAGGTCAGGTTTCTGGGAAGCCAGAAAAAGGTGGGAAAGGAAATGGTTGCAAGAGGAAGACAGAGAGAGGGAAGGAGGTGAGAAAAGAGGAAGGTGAGGGAGGGATGTGGAAGCTCAGATAGAGGATTGATGGGAGGACAGGGAGGAAGTTTGAGGAGAGGAAAGTGGTGTGGAAATCTTTTTTGCAACAGCTCCAAAACCTCCTTATCCTTCCTAAACTGTGGCACACAAAGTTGAGCACAATGCTTTTGTTGATGTGGGTTTCTACAGTTTAATGTAACTTCCTTGATTTATGATCCCCTTTATAAAATCCAGGACCATACAAATTTGATTAATTACTCTCAGTGTCCCTGTAAGCTCCAATGGTTTGTGCATGTATATCTCCTAGATCCCTCTGTTCCAGCATTCCTTTTAGAATTATTCCCTTTGTAAAGGGTCCTAATGCCCACCCTGATGGACACCATATAAATCTTCCTTTCGTCAAAAAAAATCTGTTCGCTACTCCATATTTCCTGTCACAGTCAATGTCATGTCATTACTGTTCCTTGTATTCCCTGCGCTCTTCAGTGTGTTGTACAGCACTTTATCAAATACCTTTTGGAAGTCTATGTCGACTACATTATCTTTATCTACTGCCTCTATTACCTTATTTCAAAAATCAAGCAAGTTAATTAAACATGATTTGGCCTTAAGGAAATGCAACATGAATATTTCAATTTATTCATATTTGCCCAAGTGATCATTAATTGTTCTCCAAATCTGACTAGCCTGTCACTGCTGGACCTATCCTGCCCTTTAAGAGAATCCAACCTTAAGAACTCCAAGTGCTATGTGTATACAATGTTGCTACTCTGCCTGCTGGTTAGTCTGTTATGAGTTTCCTGCTTCATAATTTATAATGTGTTTGGTTGTTTTAAATAAACTAACCCATGGAGTTGATCAGTCCTTGATGAGTGATTGATTATTAGGTTGTTATCATTTACATCCTTTATTCGTTCACAGGATGAGGGCGTTGCTGGCTAAGCAGCAGTTAAGAGTCAACCACATTGTTGTGGGTCTGGAGTCACATGTAGTCCAGACCAGGTAAGGATGGCAGTTTCCTTCCCTAAAAGGCATATGTGAACCAGATCGGTTTTTCTGACAATGGATTCACGGTCATCATTAGATTCTTAATTCCAGATATTTATTGAATTCAAATTCCACCATTTGCCGTGGTGGGGTTCAAACCCAGGTCCTCAGAACATTATCTGGGTCTCTGGATTAACAGGCAAGCAATAATACCACTAGGTCATCACCTCCCGATGATAATCTCTGTACTCTTTTGAACAAAGTGTAACATTTGCAATTCTCCAGTTCTCTGGCACCATTCCTATATCAAGGGAAGATTGGAAAGTAGAGTCAATGTCTTCACAATTTTCATCTTCCCTCAGTTTCCTTGGATGCATCTCCTCAAATTGTGGCCACATATGAACTTTGAGTACAAGCAACCTATCCAATTACTCCCTTTTATCAATTTTTAAACACATCAGGTGTCTCATCTATCTCTCTCTATAACTCAGGTAGCATCTTGACTTCCTTGGTAAAGGCAGATGCTAAGTACTTATCATTAATATGTCAGACATGCTTCTACTGTCATGTAAAAAACCTTTTAGATCCTGAATTGACCCAATCCTCCTTTGACACCCTTTTTACTGTTTATGTGTCTATATAAGTCTTTTGGATTCCCTTTTGTACTAGCTGCCTGTCTCTTCTCATATTCAATTTTTCCTTCTGTTTTCAATTCTCCTCTGAACTTTCTATATTGAACTTGATTTTCAATTATATTATCCACCTGGTGTCTGTTGTAAATAAACTTTGTTTCATCTTAATCTCTATCTCTTTTGTCATCCAGGGACCTCCTCCTTTCCCTCCTCATAGGAATGAACTTTGATGTTACCCAAAATATCTTGTCTTTAAAAGCCTCTTTGTTAACATTACAGTTCTGCCTGACAGTCTTTGATTCTAATTTATCTGGGCCAAATCCCTTTTCCCCCTCTTGAAGCTGCCGTCCCACTGTTAATTATACTTGTTCTGATTGTTCCTTGTTGTTTTCCTGTTCCCAAATGTGCTGCTACCTCTGGCTTTTTATTTTAATTCTAAACAAATAGATTCTGTCCTTGACCTCTCTATGAGCATCATCTCTCTCTGCCATGTCCTTCTCAATTAGTACTTCCATGCCTCCTTTTATTTCCTTCGTTGGAGTTGTACCTTCAAGTGAATTCATAGAAGCAGTCTCAGACAATAGACCAGTTTGTGCGTTCCATCAGCATGCCAACTTATGATTGTTGGTTCTCTTGCTGCACTGTCAGGGGTGTTTTGGTGTTGAAGTTTTAATAGGAAGTGGCCATGTGGATGATGCCTCAAGGCAGGGACCATGCCTTGTGGTTCTCTTCTCCCTTTGCTACAGACAATTTTACATACACTTGTCACACTATGGCAAACATGACTGCCGTGCCCACAATAAACATTTGGTCTTGTATTTATACCTTAAATATTACTGTTGTAATCTTTACCTCTATGCTTCACATGTAATAATGTTTCAGATTTAACTGGTCCATGTGAACTGATGAGAAACCAATGTGCACTCAAGGCAGGGAGAAGCTTTTGAAGTGGCTACCTGCTTGATATGATCACATGTAACAGTTGATAGGGTAATGACAGAAGAAACCTGAAATTGTAAAACACTTCAGAATTCAAAACCTGCTTGAATGCATGATTTTGGATGTGTGTGGGTGTGTGTGTTTGCAGGTTATTGGAGGAATAGCTGTTTGCTTGTCCTTAAACCAGACAAGTTGAGGCCAAGTAGATTGTAGGATTTTTGCTGCCTTGTGTATCTTCGCTCCAGACCACCTTAGCCAGCTGAGCCACCATCAAAGTGCCCTGAAAGGCAGAACAGAAACTGTGGAGTTGCAAAACTGACACAGAATCATGCTGAACATGTGCTGCAGGCCTACAGACAAACCACACTCATTGCTAGAGGGCTACGTCAGGAATATAAGAGCAGGAGTATGCTGTTTCCTTCCTGAACCTGTTTTCTATTGTCATTAAATAAGATTATGATTAATCAGTGACCTAATTCCAAACACCTACCAGGAATAGGAGCAGCAAATATTGGAATAACTCAGCAGGTCTGTTTGGTGTTGGGGAACTAGGACGTTTGATCTCTAGAGGAAATGAGATCTATTTATTTCTTAGCCCCCTTCCCCTCCTCCATTTCTGAAGAAGGGTCCAGACCCGAAACGTCAGCTTTCCTGCTCCTCTGATGCTGCCTGGCCCGCTGCGTTCATCCAGCTCCACACCTCATTATCTCTATCTCAGTACAGTAACTTGCTTACAGTCAGTTTGAGAAATTCCCATCCTTAGCATTAGCATCCTTGACATGCTGACCTCTTTCTCTACTACTGACACTAGATAATTCTTCTGCAATATTTCCCAAGATGCAGATCTTGCATATTCAGACAATATACTGTGGCGAATAATAATATATTGAATGATAGGAGATCAATATTTCACACCTTCTTTATTTAATTACAGCTCATGGATCAAAACATATCATTGCAGATTAAGTTGTTAATAACAGATTCACTGACACCTAACAGTCCTTCCTTCAGTCTTGCTGCAACCAAATTCTAACATATTGAATCAGTACTTTTGACAGAATGTTGATACTTCATGAGTTAAAACAATAATAACTTGCATTCATATAGCACCTCTAATGTGATAAATCATCCAGTCACCTCACAGGAGTATTATCAAACAAAATTTGACACCAAGCTACATGGTATATTAGAACAGATTCTCAAAAGCTTGGTCAAAGAGGTAGGTTTGAAGGAGGATCTTAAATGAGAATGAAAAGGTTGAGGGGGAAAAAGAAACACTAAAACATGTAGCAGATTAATGGAAATGGATGTGGAAGAGGCCAGAAATAGTGGGTTGTAGCAGTGGAGGATGTTACCAAGATTGAGATCCACAAAGCAATGGGAGGGATTTGAAAATAAGGACAAGAATTTTAAATTTGAGGTATTGTCAGACTGGGAGCCAACGTCACTCAACAAGCATAGGCTTATTCTCAAAATGCAAAAAAATGAAATTAAGCATAAAAAAATTACTGTTCTTTTACTATGCCAGAGAGCTTTTCAAATAAAGATGGATTGAAAGGAGGCTTTTACACAATAGAAAATATCTTACCACAGTAAATGGAACCTCATTTATTGCCATCTGCTGTCAAATTACATATTATTTCGCTAAAGACTTTTTACATTTGCAGTTTACAAGTTCATAAAAGTTGAATAGCCAAAAACACACTCATAATCCTTTTTTAAAATCAACACAGATAGTTAACAGTGCACCACCAATTTCTACGATCAACTTATCGCCTACTTTGTTTAAAATATGTAATTAGCATAAAAGTCAAATCTAAACTGAATCTGGGTTAAAAACCCAAAATTAGAAACAACATTTGCTTGTGATAGTTTAAAAGGTTTCTTTTTCCGTTCGGGGTCTGAGATTTGTGGCTGTTTGCGTTCAGTTGTTAAAACAGTTCAACTCTAGTCTTACAGCTACAGAAATTTTTTTTCTTAAAAGTCAATACGATACTGAAGACGAATATGGAATGCAGGACTGAGAAGGTTGGCGATCGTAGATTTTCATTTGCACAGATGGCTTTGCAATTGGCTGTGGCTTGCAGGAGGCGAAGTCAGTCCTGAGAGTTGTGATGCCCTAGAGTTATGTTGTCCTAGATTTCCTAATGCTTCCTTGCAACGTGTGGAAGGCCCCAGATGGAGAGTGCAGGGACGCAGTGTTGATTTATATTGGGACACTTACAAAACTTCTTGTGATGGACACAGATAAAATAACAGGATACGTCATTAGGTCAGAATTAAACCAGTTTCTCAATTCACACAGACTGGTTAATTGCAGTTATACCTGTAACCCCATTTTACCGCATCCTTTGTTTTAATTAAATTTCAAAGTACGTGACAATTTTTATTTCAAGGGTACAGATAATAAAATCTAAGCGGAAGCCGGTACAAATTACTACTCTGTGCGCTGTTATAAATAGATCAACTTGGAAAAAGTCAAGACTCGACTCAATTTTTTTTCCAGGATCAAGCATCTTAACTGTTCTGTTGCTGCTTGCTAACAGCCTCTTAAGTCAAAAGCTATTTCAGTGGTTACCAATTTTTGGGATGTGAATGTGATTGGCATTTATTGCCCAGCCTGGATGGCCGTGGGTATGAGCTGGTGGATCACCATCTTGAGCCTCTGCAGTCCATGTGGTGGCGCTGCACCCACAATGCTATTATGTAATGAGTTCCAGAACTTCGATCCAGTAAACGACGAAGGAAAGGTGACATACAACTAAGTCGAGTGTGGTGGTGTTCCCATGTGTCCGCAGTCCTTGTCCTTCCCGGTGGTGGAGGTCATGGGGTAACCAGCATCACAACTGGTGAACGGCGCGGGGCAGAATCTGAACGTCGCTGAGGGATTAATCAGGAGAATATTGTTGCATACCTGGAAGAAGTCACTAAGTACTTACAGGCCAATTTTGCAAGGCTCAGCTCTCGTAGCAAACGCCTACCAGCTACCACTGACTCTGGGAGAGCCGAGTAAGCCGTAACACATTAAAAGTCTTTAGACAGGCAAGGGAGGTGGACAGTAATGAGCATGGATAGATGGGTCAAGGGTGGGCCGTTTGAAAATGGATGATTCTGAGATATTTAAAGATGGAAAGTATGGAGAGAAGAATCTTTCCATGAGAGAGAACTGCAATAATATCAGCAAAGATAGTTAGCAGTATGATGGGCATAGGATCATGGAGGTTCATGGACAAGGTGAGCTCTGAGAGGGCTGAGGGGACACAGAGGAGATAAGGATGCAAGTTCAGGTTGTGGGCAGGGGGACCCTTTGCCTTGATGGGTTTAATAGAAAAAGTGAAACAGCAGAGGAAGCTGAACATGTGGTCTTAATTTTAGTGATAAAAATGAGCATCTTGCATATATTGAAGCTACGACAACATGTAAGAGAGGATTAGATAAGGGAAAGAGCTAAAGATGTATATTTAGGATTAGGACTATAGCTTGTGTGGAAGAATAACTTCAAAAACTGTACTAGAAGGTTGTTTTCAAATTGTGGTTTCTGGGCACAATTGCAGGATAAGTTCAGTGGTGTTACAATTCCAATGGGGAGTCACAGGAACCCTGCATTCATTTTGAGTGTAGCCATGGGAGCATGAAGTGAGTGGGTTTGCTCCAATGTTATAAACCAAGGTCAGGCACAGAGCATCTTTGGAGATTCTCCCAATGGTTTGGCATAACTTTGGCATAGAACTTATGGAAGGCCCAAAGAATCAATACAAAAAAGGGCCCCTTTTATGACCTCCGATCATCTTGGAATGTTTTACAGCCGATGAAGTATTCCTGAAGTATAGACATTGCGCTAATGTCGGAAACACGAAAGCCAATTTGTGCCTAGCAAGCTGCCTAGCAAGTTGTTACGATGATGTCTATTCTTAATGATGTTGATTGAGAGATAAGTATTGGTCAGGTCACTAAGGAGAACACTCCTGTTTTTCTGGAGACTGCAGGGATTGTTGGATCAGCTCGAAAGGACAGGTAGGAAAGATGTCAGTCTAATAGTTCATCTGATAATTCCCTCTTTATTGCGCTGGAATGTCAGCCTAGATCATGTGATTAATTCTCTGAACCAACCTTCTGACTATGAGGTGTTACTGCTACTAACTGAGCCAAGGTGCTGGCGTCTGTAAATGGTGAAAATTTGATATTGTAGGTGTAGAATCTAGTGATGCACCACATGGGGATTATGATTACTACCTTGCAAAATATTGCAGATTCTGGAAGTCTGTGATAATGTAAAATGCTGGAAGCACTCTGCAGGTCAGGCAGCATCTGTGAAGAGACAAACAGAGTGACCTGCTGAGTGTTTGCAGCATTTCGGGTTCTGTTTCAGATTATCTCAAAAGTGTTTAGCACAAGGTTATGGAGAGGGGGATAAACAGTACTTTCTGTTCAAAGAATGCCACCTCATTTTTGAGAAATCAAATGCTACAGAGGCAGAATTTTTCTAAAATTTATACTTCTGACTTTGTACTTCTGGGCAAAATTCATGTTGTAGTTTCAAACTTGGTAAAAAATATCTATAAATGTATGCATTTTTTACAATGGACACAAACTTCAGATTGCCAGACTGATTAAGATTGACAGAAAACAGAACAATGAAACGGAAAAAAAGAACAAAAACTGCATTTTTGTTTTGTCAAAATGCATTAGAATTTAACATTACATGGGTTGTTTATGTACCTGAGATGTAAATCATCAGAAGCACTGACCACTGCAATCACTATTGCACACCATAGATTATGTTGCTTTTTAACCATTTGTACAAGATTTCCAAAGGAATCTTTCAAAAAAAAAACAGAGCTGGAAATTCAAAGCTCTTCCCTGGTTTCCCTTGAGTTCATTCCTAAAGTAGATCAATGCTGAGTTATTTATTTCGGAAAATAAAAGTGACAAGCCTGCAATTATGGTCCAAATTCTGAACCTTATGGATTGCTCATTATCACAAAATATCTCAAGAAGAAGTTCATTTATAATCATTGCACTCCAGAGAGTAAAACTGCAGATTCTGCAGCTTTTCCAATGCATCTGACAACCACAGCTTTTTTTTTATCAACAGATCCTGCTGCTCCAACACTGGGAATGAAAGCAAGTGCTTAAACAAGAGCCAACTTCCCATGGCATTTCAAAGAAGTTTTAGAAGAAGAGTCATTTTGGACTCGAAACTTCAACTTGTTTCTCTCTGCATTTCTCCAGCAGTTCCCATTTGTACTACTGTGGCATTTGTCAGGTTTGGAAGAAACAATTGAGAAATGATTGTGACGGGTTGAGAGGTTACCGTCCTACTTCTGGGGGTAGCAAGAATAGCAGGTCCTTTTGTGACAGGGTACTGTTTTTATTTAAACGCAGATAGAGCACCATTTTCTGTTAGATAGCAGACATAATTGTTACGCTATGACCCACCCTAAATGGGCTGCTTGTCACATGTGAGGCAAACTGTGAGGAATAAAGAACTCGAGGATTTGAATATGTTGCAGATTATTGTTGATGAGTTGATCTTATTGACCCAGTTTTGATTTGTAAATAAGAAGCTACAGCCTTTGCTATCCAATAAACATACACACATAACTAACACAGCAGAAGTTCACCTGACAGTTGGTATTAACAGTTGGCAGTTGGCACAAAGTGAAATATCAGACTGCCCAACAATTATAATACAATAACTATTTGAAATGAAAGTAGTGTGCAATAAGATAGCATATTTTAGCATGCCTACCCCTACGATAATGCTTCTGAAACTATTGTTCTGAGTTGCTACATAATCCAGATGTTTCCTGGACTTAGCAAGGGAACCCTATCACAGAATTACAGGGATCTTGACTGTACAGACAACTGGGATAATATACTGTTTTCCTTTTTAATTTTCAAATGGTTCACAACATAGTCCATAGCATGTGCCCCTAACCCCACCTCCCCCTTCCCCCCCCCCCCCCCCCCCCCCAATATTTCATGTTGAAATCCCCAGCAAACTTTAACTTCTCATTGTAAGGTTAAACCTTTAGAGAGTTGAGGAAGTTTGTTTGTAGTCTCTCAGAATGACTGAGGCATAGGTAACATTGGGTGGGGTGCACAGCACTGATTCAGAGATGGGGGAGCTGGGAACGGAGCTGCCTGATGCCACTGAATCTCGGAAAGGTGAAGGAGGTGTGAGTGCTGGGGAATCCTCCAACGTGAGTTTGTTGGGGACAACCAGTTCCTCCTGGTTCTCTGTGTTGTCATAAATGAAGTTGTCAATGAGATTGAATCTTTCACTCTCCTCCTCCTCCTCTTCCTCCTCCTCCTCCTCCTCCTCCACGGGTGAAATGGGTTGAGGATTGAAGGTAGTCATCTGAAGTGGGAGTACTTGTTCATCAAGCTGGTACAGTGCCGTCACCCCATTCCCGGGCACTGGCACTGGCACTGTAAGCACTGAATCAAGGTCAGTCATATTGGTTGTAAATGCATTGACCACTCCGTGCAACTGATCCATTACAGATTGTTGTGATGAAACATCTTTTTGCAACTGATCAGAAATGAAAAATTGGGGATCTTCTATTTCTTTAAGCTGTGTGATAGACATTGCCCGTCTCTGCAATGTCATTTCTGGACTATTGGGAATGTCGAGTCTCAGTGGATCACTTTCATCTTCTTCCACAACGTTGTAAAGGGCTTTTGTGCTCGCATCTGAGAAGCTGAGATTTTTGATCTGGTTCTGGTATGGTTTAGTCAGGGGTTTGATTACAGCTGTCTGATTAGATGCAACATCTTTGCTCTTCACATGGACGGATAGTCTATGCCACATGTGCTGTCCCTTCGCTGGCCGTCCAGTTCCTGGTTCAGACCATGACACAGATTTCCCATTGGAACTGGGGAAAGATGTAAATTCCCAGTTAAAACCTTTTGCACCAAAACTGCAGCTGAATATTTGCACAGTCGATTTTACATTTCTCCTGTCTATACTTGTATTTTAAATTGGGATTGTCACTACGACTGAGGAGAAAAAATATACCTTGAAGAGCAGCAAAGTAGAATGATTTGACATGCAAAGCACATAATGATTCCATGTTGTAAATGACATTGTGCAAATGATATAATTGCACTTCACTGCATTAATTATATATCGTGCCCAGTAATTCTACAGGGACAATGATAGCCCTTATAAAGCATTATTGTATATGTAAAAAGGCCAATGGAATTTGATCTGGGGCAAATTTGTAATGTGAGTTTAGGTCTTTTTGGGCTGGACTAAGCTGTTGAGAGTTCATTTGACTGGTCAGAAAAAAAACAATTAATTTAATACAATTTGACAGTCTCAAAGCTTCTACTTAACAAATTTGGAATAATCACATTAAATGCTACTATTGTGCAGTGAGATCAGGGAATTTATCTGTTGAGAACAAAACAATGCTTATTGATTGATTTTGGCATACACTCTTTGGCTTTGCAATAAAATGAACATTCCTATTAAATCCTTTATGTTTAGATTGAGAATTTGGTGTTTCATCTCATTTTTCTTCCATTCAAGCAACTATGTCATGGGAAAAACATCCCCTCCAACAAAGTAGCCAACCATCTTTCCATCCCCCAATTATCTCACTAAAACATGATGTCGAGGTGCTGGTGTTAGACTGGGGTGGACAAGGTCAGAAATCATACAACACCAGGTTGTGGTCCAACTTTTTCTAACTATAACCTGGTGTCGTGTGATTTCTGACCTCACCAAACCAGCCAGTCATTTATTCATCCAACAGATTGTACCTCTTGAGAGCTAGCCATCCAAGTATCTTGCTAGCAGTCTACCTCTTCAAACATTTGGCATGCCTATCATCATTTATTCAGTGATGCACATATCAATTGATCCATCCACTCATCAAGTCAGCGGGCTAGACATCCAAACACTAATCTTTTTTCTTCAATACATCTATCTATTCATGAATACATTCTGCACTATATCCAGCCAATGTATCACCCCACCAATCAGCTAACAGCCTACTGAATTACCCAGTCACTCAACCAAAACAGGCTAACATCTATACTGTAATCTATACTTTTATACCTCCATCATCTCGCTGCCTGTGGAAGGCAGCCAACATGAAGATCCCTCTCAGTCTGGTTATAACATCTTCCAACCTCTTCTGTTGGGCAGAAGATACAAAAGCTTAAACACGTACCAAAAGATTCAAGAACAGTAAAAACCGAAAGAACTGCGGATACTGTAAATCAGGAGCAAAAACAAAAGTTGTTGGGAAAGCTCAGCAGGTCTGGCAGTATCTGTGAAGAAAAAAATCAGAGCTAACGTTTCAGGTCCGGTGACTCTGTTCTGAGGAAGGGTGACCGGACCTGAAACACTAACTCCGATTTTTTCCTTCACAGATGCTGCCAGACGTGCTGAGCTTTTCCAGCAACTTCTGTTTTTGATTCAAGAATAGTGTCTTCCCCTGCTGTGATCAGACTTCTGAATGGATCTCTTAAATTTTAAATTTAAATGTTGATCTTGCTCTTTGTGCACCTTCTCTATAGCTGTAACATTGCATTCTTCATTTTGTTTTATTACCCTAATGCACTTTGTATGGTATGATCTCCCAGTATGGTACACAAAACAAAACTTTTAACTGTACCAAGGTAAATGTGATAATAATAAATCAAATAATAATAACAGGAGTATGTGCATCTTGATTTCTCTTCATTCAGTCAGTTAGTGACTTATTGTTGGATTTTTCATCCTTTCAATTAATACATTCATCCAGCCTATAATCTTGGCACCCACTGGTCTAACCTAATATCCAAGTAACCAACTGAACAAAAATTAACCAAACTTTTTTTTATTCATTCATGGGATGTGGGCATCGCTGACTGGACAGCATTTATTGCCCAACCCTAATTGCCCAGAGGGCAGTTAAGAATTAACCACATTGCTGTGGGTCTGGAGTCACATATCAGCCAGACCAGGTCAGGATGGCAGGTTTCCTTCCCTGAAGACAATAGTGAACCAGATGAGTTTTTCCTGACAATCAGCAATGGTTTCATGGTCATCATTAGACTCTTAATTCCAGATTATTATTGAATTCAAATTCCACCATCTGCCATGGTGGGATTCAAACCTGGGTCCCCAGATCATTACCCGGATCTCTAGATTAATAGTCTAGTGATAATACCACTGAGCAATTGCCTACCCAACTATTCCGTTGACCAGCACCCACCCAGACATCTATCTAGATGTCCAACCAAAACTTATACACAAGATACTTCTAACCAACAATCCGGATTGGCATAATCCAGCGAGCTTTCCTTTTATCCCATTAGTAATTTATCCAAAAAACAAATTTCCAAGCAAACTATCCAGTCAGTCAGACATTCCTCTAGCCTCTTATCATTCCTTCTGGTTCTCCAACCAGCAACTTGAATAACTGCCCTTTCTTCTACAGAATTGTTAATTTAACCACCCATTGATCAATTGATACAGCCATAGATCCATCGTTTATCCAGCTCATTATTCATCCAACCAACCTCATCCTTTCAGATAAAAAACAATTTTCACTAACCAGACTGAGGAAAGGTCACCGCAACCTGAAACGCTAACACCGTTTCTTTCCGTAGATCCTGCTTGACCTGCTAAACATTTCCAGCATTTTTGATTTTGTTAGGTCAAAGAATTTTAAATTTGAAGTTTAATGGGACCCGTAAGTCATGAAGGATAGGAGTGATTGAGTATTGAGACTTGACAACAATGTATTAAGTACAGCTGAGTTTTGGATCTCTCGGGGTGTGTGGAAGGAAGAGGATGAAAAGTGGGCGAGGAACCAACTTGAATAGTTGATTCTTGAGGTGAAAAATGCATGCTTGAACAGAAGGTGGGCTGAAGTAAAGGGCAGTCTTGGTTATATAATTGAGATAGGCCCAAGTGAACTTTTTGATGGAGGGGATAGGGGTTTTAATGTAGTGTTTAGTACAGAATAGGTGTGTCCTGTTCAGTTTGTGGCAGTGACCGGGGAGGGGGATGGAGTGGATAGCAGGGAACAAGGACGTTGGAATCATCACTCAATCAAAACTTAACATCTGACTCTGCCTTTCACAGAATCCTTACAGTGTGGGAACAGGCCATTCAGCCCAACAGGTCCACACCATTCTCCAAAGAGCATCTTACCCAGAATAATACCCCCCTACTATATTGTTGTAACCCTGTATTTCTCATGGCTAATCCACTTAACCTCCAATCCCCTGACACTACTGGCAATTTAGCATAGCCAATCCACCGAACCTGCACATCTTTGGACTGTGAGAGGAAACTGGAGCACCCGGAGAAAACCCACACAGACAAGGGGAGAATGTGCAAAATTCATACAGTCGTCCAAGGCTGGGATTGAACCTGGGTCCCTGGTGCTGTGAGGCTGCAGTGCTAACCACTGAGCCACTATGCCTTAATGTCAATCGAATGAAATAAGGGAATGGAAATTTAAATGAAGGTCTGTATGATCACTATTGCAGATGCCAGTTTTCTTTAATGTCTATTTTTTAAAAATTGGAAATCAGTTGTTCAAATTAGCATGGTCAGATTTGAACTTGCACTCCCTGGATATAGTAATATAACCTTTAAGCTTCTGAACCCTGAACTAGTGAAGCCCTGTATTAAATTGGTTGAGCTTGTCGGAGTTGGGAAGAGATTGCAGTGTCACATTGCATGGCACTGAGCATGTGCTGTTATTTCTGATGGGGGAGGTGTGGTCGTATTTACTGAGCATTGTATATACTGATAAGTGGATTGCTGTATCATAGACCTTCAGGGTTTTGGAATTTGAAGTGAATATTTCAGTGAGTTATTCCAGTATTGGAACTGGCAGATCTAAATAGTAGTTGATGTTAGATCAGTTGCTAGTTTTAAGACTGAGATAGACAAATTTTTGTTAAGGAATATGAGCCAAAGGTAGATATACGGTGTGTTCTAAAGAAGGGTTACTGGACTTTTTTCTTTCTTTTATTCATTCATTGGAAGAGGGCATTGCTGGTTAGCAGACATTTCTCATCTTTAAGTGCCCAGTGTTGCTGTGGGTCTGGAGTCACATGTAGGCCAGACCAGGTAAGGATGGCAGTTTCCTTCCCTAAAGGACATTAGTGAATCAGATGGGTTTTCTCTCAACAATCAACAATGAATTTATGGTCATCATCATACTCTTCATTCTAGATGTTTTTCTTGAATTCAAATTCCACCATCTGCTGTGGTGGGATTCGAACCAGGTCTCCAGAACATTGTCTGGGTCTCTAGTTTAACAGTCCAGCCCTAACACCGCGAGGTCATCATCTCCCCTCCTGGGGCATTATCTGTTTTCTATTGATAAAAGCTGCTAGACCAGCTGAGTTTCTCTAGCAATTTCTGTTTTTGTGGCAGGTATATGGAGTCAGGCCACAAATTAGCTGTAATTTCATTGAATGGCAGAACAGGCTCAAGAGGCTGAATGGCCTACTCCTGTTCTTATGTTCCTCTTGCTAACTGTTCATTTGGTATACTGCCTTAACACAGCTACCTGGGACTGACTCAATAGCAGTTCCTTAACAGGCTGAGGTCTAGCAGGAAATCATCATTGAAGCTACTACTTACTGCAGAAGTAAGATCCTTAAAACGATAGACTACCCATTAGCAGCCATAAAAGCCAACATAACAGTGAACCTTTGTGTGTCACATAGGCTGAGGGGGAGCGAGGTGAATAATGCATCTCATGGAAGCACTAATGTATTTTCTCACCCTGGGGAACAGCAGGATGAAGAGGCTGTACAGTATGATCTGCTTTCTGTGTTTGTGTGGGTCATTTATTACGTTCATATGGTACTTGGGCAATATGCAGAATACAGAAACACCTTCACTTTGTCTTTGGTATGGTAGTCTCAATTCTGATCACCAACACCAAATCAGGCAAGCCAGAGCCTGCATCCTTACACAATACTTCTGCTTGAAACTGGCCTTTTAAAGGGGAGGGTGGTTCCCTGGGAAACCAAGGCTACCATCTTCAATACTTGGCACTCTCTTTTACAGATGCCTTTGAACCAATCAAGTGAATGCAAAAAAGATCCCATGGTACTATTTCAAAGAAGGGCGGGAGATCACTCCTTAACCTTCTGCATTTATTCCTGAACAGTGAGAAAAAGATGCTATGATAATCATCACAATGCTGTTGTGGGATCCTGCTACACACATATTAGCATCAATTTCTTCCTACATAAGAGCGGTGACTACACTTCAAAACAATTTCATTGGTTGTATGGCATTTCAAGACATTCCGAGGTCATAACAGGCACTATTTCAATGCAAATTGCGAGAGCCTATTCTGTTACCAGGGAAAGTTGTTGGATAATGAAGATGAATTGCCAATGCTATGAAAGATTGGAGGTTGTATAGCAGTACAGCTGTCCTCACAAGGCCTCAAGAAACATGAGCCTTACAGCTTTCATTGTCAAAGGAGACCTATACGTGGAACAAGAAGAGCTGTAGCATT